TATGAAGAATATAAGCCAATAATGATAATAAAAATAAAAAAGACAAAAAAACAAAGCAATACTGCTGCATCAGCAAAGGACAGAGAGTTAGCTTGGCAAAAAAATAACCCATATAATAAATGTGTGAGTTCATAAGTTTGATTTTTGTTCTATGTTAGAAAGAAGGCTGAAAAAAGGTGGGGAACCACCACATTCACTCACTCTGGCTGAGGAGCTGGCACTGTCCCTTACTCAAGGGTGGCCTGTCATTGAGCAGAAAGGTCAGGGTTATAGAAGGTGGATGGGATCCCTTTGATGAGTCAAAGTGTCAGCCAGTTTGGTCAGTACAGGAAGAAAACCTTCAAGTGGATGCTTATCGCATTATATTTGAAAAATAGCATAGACCAGCGTTAATGTCTTCAATAAAAGGAAGATGTCCTCCTGTTATCTCCAAGGTAGAGGGAAAATGTGAGGAGAAGTTCTGCCAGAGACTTATAAAGCCACTCAAATGCTCAAATTCTTTTACGTTTTTTCCATTTGCTGTACTTGCTGTGGCCCCACCATCTGCTATGGCGGATGGCCTGAAGAGAACTTGAAGTATGGGAACGCCACTGCAAAGTGTGCAGATCCAAAAAGATATCCCTGCAGGATGTGTGGACAAAGAGGTTGGATTCTGGACAGTTTTTCCAGAGGGAAAAGTGTCTGTGCCACTGCAGTTGGAAAATCGTAACAGAATGCCTGTCTGAGCAGAAGAGGGTGACTCTTATGGACATTGGACAATGTGAGTGATGTGCCTCAGACAACTAGCTGGAGGAGGAAGAAGAGAGCTGAAGCCATTGCACAAGGCATCGCTCTAAAACAAGGAAAGAAATGTAACAACCCATGCCAAAAGCCAAAGACTAAAGGCTGTCGCCATTCAAATCCATTGCAGAACTTATTAGAGGAAGGCAGTGGAGCTTTGGCTGGCAGAATAACGGCTCTTGTTAGGCCACATATTTCTTAATTTTCTGTAATATTTTTTGTTTGAACTTAGTTTTCACTTATGATATTTATACAGTTGTTAATATTTTTTTAAGGCTTGATTTCTATTTTCTACTTTTCTTTGCATTTATATATTTTTCTTTTTATATT